GAATTATTTTTTGTATGCTTTGTAATGGGTAAGGGTTCGTTTTAAAGCTTAAAGTGCATGTGTGTGTCTTTAGAATTTGGAGAACAATGTTCCTAATGGTTTGTTTTGCATGTGAGCCATGATAATAGGTGATGGCATATTTTAATAAAAAATGTTTTTAAAAGTGTACATCATTATGTGGGCGGCTTCTGATAGCGACACTGTCTTGTTGAGATCATCACGTGACCGCATATTGTGGGACACCAATATAGTGTTTAATGTTACGTGATATAAAGTTACGTTCATCGTGATCTATGACACATGACGGACGCCAGACGAACATATGCCGGCCATGACACATGACGGACGCCAGACGAACATATGCCGGCCATGACACATGACGGACGCCAGACGAACATATGCCGGCCATGACGCATGACGGACGCCAGACGAACATATGCCTGCTATTCTGCTGCATTGTTGACAAGAAATAATTGGGCACCCGCCGCTAAGACATGGCCTGCAACAATGTGCCAAGTTTCAAGTGGCCGTCTCACTCAGTTACAAGACATTCACTAAAGTCAATCTCACTTCTTGCCCATTACACCACCACTGAAAGTCTCACTTCTTGCCCATTACACCACCACTGAAAGTCTCACTTCTACCCCATTACCAACACTGAAAGTCTCACTTCTACCCCATACACTACCACAAGTCTCACTTCTACCCCATTACCAACACTGAAAGTCTCACTTCTTGCCCATTACACCACCACTGAAAGTCTCACTTCTACCCCATTACCAACACTGAAAGTCTCACTTCTACCCCATACACTACCACAAGTCTCACTTCTACCCAATACACTACCACAAGTCTCACTTCTACCCCATTACACCAACACTGAAAGTCTCACTTCTACCCCATTACACCACCACTAAAAGTCTCACTTCTTCCCCATTACCAACACTGAAAGTCTCACTTCTTCCCCATTACACCAACACTGAAAGTCTCACTTCTACTCAATACACTACCACAAGTCTCACTTCTACCCCATTACACCACCACATAAAGTCTCACTTCTACCCCATACACTACCACAAGTCTCACTTCTACCCAATACACTACCACAAGTCTCACTTCTACCCCATTACACCACCACATAAAGTCTCACTTCTACCCCATTACACCACCACATAAAGTCTCACTTCTACCCCATACACTACCACAAGTCTCACTTCTACGCAATACACTACCACAAGTCTCACTTCTACCCCATTACACCACCACTGAAAGTCTCACTTCTACCCTATTACACCACCACTGAAAGTCTCACTTCTACACCATTACACCACCACTGAAAGTCTCACTTCTACACCATTACACCAACACTGAAAGTCTCACTTCTACCCCATACACTACCACAAGTATCACTTCTACCCCAGATGTATGTGGTCGTGTATGTCATTATCAGGCAGGCTATTCATCCGGCCGATGAACCGATAGATCGATAGATAGATATTGACTGTGAGCGAAGCGACGCTCAATTATATTAGCTCTGTGATCAGTCTGATAGGCGCCGCCATTTGGACAATAAACAGACGTCACACGCAGGTTCTATTTATAGCTCGCCACAGCTGTCTGCCGTAGAGAGACCTTGAGACAGCGAGCTATTAGAACTAATGCCAGACACATTAGGGAAAATAATACAAGTAGGAGAAGTTTTAAACTCTGCTAAAATATCACTCGCTGATTCAAATTTTGATCTTCGTCACAATACCAGCCTGTTCTTGCCATTTTAGTGATAAATGAAATTTTTAGAAAGAAAAATATATATTTAAGCAGGGATATTAAAAACACAAACACACAAAATAAAAAAAATAAAAATAAAAAACAAATAGTTCTATTAAATTGTAAATTTCAGTTACTCTAACCACCCCACTCGCCCCTTCCTCAATCTAGTCTGGATTCTACATATTTTTACAAACAATTTTCAGCATTAGCCTTGACCTTGGCCGAGAACCAGCCGTTAATCTTAAACTGATTTATATCTTTGATCCAACCAGACCCAGATAATCCCCCCCCCCCCCGCCCCCTACTTCAACACAGACACTTTGAAACAAACAAAACTTAAAAAAAAAAATTTCCAACGTCGATTGTTTTAAACTTGATGAGATCGATGAGACAACCACATTGATCACACATCAGATGATGCACGCTCCATCACCGGCTGTCGTATGTTGACGTAGTATGATAGAGTAGGGGTCAAGTAAAATTAGGCGGAAACAGAGGTGGGTGGTAAAATAGGTTGAATGATTGTGGCGTCTTTCAATGACAGCACCACATTAAAAGATATACAGCGTGTGGAGATATAAATACAAAGATGGAGGTCAAACGTGAAGATAAAGCGTCCGTTTCGCAGCTTCACCACCTGACCCCTACTCTACTGTCACCCACCAACTGACCCACACTCTAATATCCCCACATTGACCCCCCCCCCACTCTACTTTCCCGACCGACTGACCCACACTCTACTGTCCCTACCAACTGACCCCCACTAATATCCCCGCCAAATGACCCCCACTCTAATGTTCCCCACTACCTGACCCCCACTCTAATATCCCCGCCAAGTGACCCACACTCTTCTGTCCCTACTTAATGACCCCCACTCTACTATCCCCGAACTAACTGACCCCCACTCTACTGTCCCCACCAAATGACCCCCTTTCTTCTGTCCCCACTAAATGACCCCCACTCTAATATCCCCGAACTAACTGACCCCCACTCTACTGTCCCCACCAAATGACCCCCACTCTAATATCCCCGAACTAACTGACCCCCACTCTACTGTCCCCACCAAATGACCCCCACTCTACTGTCCCCACCAAATGACCCCCACTCTACTGTCCCCACCAAATGACCCCCACTCTACTGTCCCCACCAAATGACCCCCACTCTACTGTCCCCACCAAATAACCCCCACTCTACTGTCCCCACCAAATGACCCCCACTCTACTGTCCCCACCAAATGACCCCCACTCTACTGTCCCCACCAATTGACCCCCACTCTACTGTCCCCACCAAATGGCCCCCACTCTACTGTCCCCACCAAATGACCCCCACTCTACTGTCCCCAATAAATTGACCCCCACTCTACTGTCCCCACCAACTGACCCCCACTCTACTGTCCCCACCAACTGACCCCCACTCTACTGTCCCCACCAAATGACCCCCACTCTACTGTCCCCACCAAATGACCCCCACTCTACTGTCCCCACCAACTGACCCCCACTCTACTGTCCCCACCAAATGACCCCCACTCTACTGTCCCCACCAAATGACCCCCACTCTTATGTCCCCACCAAGTGAACCCCACTCTACTGTACCCACCAACTGACCCCCACTCTACATTTCGGCCGGAAATAGCCCTAACGCTGCATGCATCTGACAGCTTAATTAAGCTGGCTTATGCGCATGCGTCTCCAACGTCTGTCTTATTAATTGTTTAGAAATGTATTCTTCCTTTTTCGGGGACACGAATCTTCTTTTTTATCTAATGAGAGAGAAACAATTATAATATATATATATATATTTATATATATATATATATATATATATATATATATATATATATATATATATATATATATATATATATATATAATAACTTATTTACTATTCTGATGTATGACATCAATGTCGAGTAAATATTGTACTACTTTTCAAATGTACACAACACATCACTCTATGACGTCTACCATCCCCTGCCTGTTTAATCTGCATATGACTGTACATCATAATCTCATATCATTAACATAAACTAGTATTTAACCACATAAAAAAGAACTTTGAATGTTTGTACATAAATTAACAGATTTTAACCATATGTGTTGCATGAAAAAATAAACGAGGTTCTTGTGACAAAGTGTGGTAGAGGTGATTAAAACACTAGCTTATAACCCCCACCTTCACTCACACACACACACGCACACACCATCCTGCTAGTGTCCCCAATAAATACCCCCACCTCTCACACAAACAACTCCCCCACCACTCACACAAACTTTTCCCCCCACCTCACACATGCACACACCATTCTGCTAGTATTCCTAGTAAACACCCCCACCCCCACCTCCCCCACCCACACCTCCACCAAAAACCTCCACCACCTCACACACGCACACATAATTCCGCTAGTGTTCCCAATAAATACCCCCAACTCCCACACAAACACCTCCCCCACCCACACCTCCCACACGCACACACCATTCTCCTAGTGTTCCCAATAAATACCCCCTCCCCCCTCTCCCCACCATTCTGCTGGTGTTCCCCAGGTCGTGCACACACAGACCCAGTTTCAGGACAAGGTGAGGTTTGGCTCGAAGCTTAATTAAAATGATCTGGCAACCCTGATCCATCTCCCACGTCAAAGACAGCACCAGACCTAGTTTGAACTAGTCGCACCGGCATAAAAAAATTCCAGAGCTGTCTAACTACCGAAAACTACCAGGCTCTTAACTACCCAGCCCTAGTTAAAACTAACGAACGCTATTATTGCTAATAATATCATGAGTATGTATGCTTAGGTAAGTTGTTTGTAAACTGTCAATTATTGCTTTTGGTCTTGGCATACTTTACACCTGTATTTACTTGCGTGTCTATATTTACATATTATTTCACAGCAAGCATGCAACAACATAAATTTACGTTTAGCCATATTTTGTCTAGTGTTTTTTTTCTACGTTGCAAAGCCACTCTGATTAAAATATTCATTGGTTTTATTTCGTGCTTTGATTATGTTTTTTTTTATCCCCAGTTTGTTTTAAATTGTGACGATAAATAAAATTTGATTTGTAAATTAAAACCCAAAGTTTCTCCGCCGATTCGTATTTTTATCTTCCATCTCGACCCAATGACCTATTTATTTTGAAACGAAATAAAACCCCTCGGCCCACCACATAGCTCTCTGCTTGATAAGTTGGTCCCACCACTTAGCTCTCTGCTTGATAAGTTGGTCCCACCACTTAGCTCTCTACTTGATAAGTTGGTCCCACCACATAGCTCTCTGCTTGATAAGTTGGTCCCACCACATAGCTCTCTGCTTGATAAGTTGGTCCCACCACATAGCTCTCTGCTTGATAAGTTGGTCCCACCACATAGCTCTCTGCTTGATAAGTTGGTCCCACCACATAGCTCTCTGCCTGATAAGTTGGTCCCACCACATAGCTCTCTGCTTGATAAGTTGGTCCCACCACATAGCTCTCTGCTTGATAAGTTGGTCCCACCACATAGCTCTCTGCCTGATAAGTTGGTCCCACCACATAGCTCTCTGCCTGATAAGTTGGTCCCACCACATAGCTCTCTGCCTGATAAGTTGGTCCCACCACATAGCTCTCTGCTTGATAAGTTGGTCCCACCACATAGCTCTCTGCTTGATAAGTTGGTCCCACCACATAGCTCTCTGCTTGATAATTTGGTACTAAAAAAATTCGAATCCTTTCCAGACGAGATCTAACGCCTGCTAAGACTTAAAACTGGAACCCCCTCATTACGCAGGCGGTAGACAAGATAAACTCCGAGTCTTTGACTGCTAAAGCTAACCTGCATGAGATTCCACAACTCGGGGCTAATTAAAACACAAACATCATCCCCACCGCTGACTATCTGGCATACTTCCGTTCCTTTCATCATGTTCACAAACCTATCTTCACTTACATAACTAGTTCAAACACAAATTTGCTTTTCTTTAAAGCGGGATAACTCTTATGTTTAATTAAAGGGACGCTACCTATTTATTAACGCGTTTTGGTAATATATTATATAAAAAAAAAATATTTTGTGAAAAAAAATCGGTGGATAAACCCAGCCGAATTTTCCCGATAGTCCACGCCCCTGAAATGGCATGCGCGAATGGTGAGCGGTGCGATCTGTCTTACGTTGGTAAGCACGTGAGTTGTGCCCGATGTTTGAATGCCAATACGAGGCTCGGCCAGTTTTATATCGTGTTCACAGGCGGCGCTTTGTGTTCTATTGAGTTACCGGACTTGCTTGTGTTCTGACAGTTATCGGACTTGGGTGTATTCTTGCGAGTTTACTGGACTTTGTGTAGTGCGGAGTTACTGGACTTTATGTTATTTTTCTTGAAACTGACTAGATTGCCATTTAACAGGTAAGTTTCATAAATTAATAAAACTATAGTACCATCATTAAGTTTCACGTCTCTTTATTCTTTAAGACTCGTGGAAGCAAAATTAAGTAAAACTAGTTTTCCTATAGTTTTAATTAAATTATCTTTGGTTGTTAATTCGACTGTTTTCGGAAAAACTTTAAATCAAGTTTAATTCTAACATTGTCAAGTGCAATACATGCTTGTAAGGTACTTAATCATACGTTAAGTAACTGGGCTGGGGTTACTGTGTCCTGTGGGGTACTGTGAGGTACTGTTAGGTGCAATATATATATATATATATATATATATATATATATATATATATATATATATATATATATACACTGTAAAAATACTAATCGCTGACCATAGTAGCACCATTGAAGTAAATTTGCCACAATAAAATTGTGATACGAGCTATTCGTTTGATCTCTCAAATTGACTGTAGATGAAATACTCAAAAGTAAATTATATACGATTGTTAGTTAATGCTTAATAAAAGTTTCGGTACCGCTTTTATTAAATTCCCTGCGATTATCGTGATTTATTGTGTCTTAGCGAGAGGAATGGTTTGAAATGAACATTGTTTTTTTTTAGAATTAATCCGGCTGGACTAACTGTCGAAAAAATTATGATTCCATTGCAAATTATTCACATTTGATTATTTTGATTCTTCTTCCTTGTTCTTAATTTAAGTGTTGGAAGGTTTTCCTCCAACATAACTGAATATACGTGTCAACTGTTTATGCGCCATAGAGGCCATTGACTCCGATTTCAGCTTGCTTTTCTTGTGTATTTGCTACCCGAGGGTTCGAACTCGAGACGTTTCGGTTTAGCAACTATCTTTACCGACTTGACCACCCCGAATGCGGACTGAATCACAATAATGTGAATTAAAGTGTTGTTTAAAAAAAAAAAATTCTGTATTTGTTATAGCTACGCATGTTTCAATCAGGCTGTCACTAAGCTTGATACAATCGGTATAACGGATTGTAGCTGTATATTGTGGTCTGTAATTGTTGTGTCATTGGGAAGCATAACTACACATATACATATATTACAACTGTAATGAGAACTACACATTACCCAACCTGGCACTACTTAGTACTTTCACAAAAACTACTCATATATGTGATATATTTAGTAGTACTCATGTAGTACTCAGTACCTTACATGGTTTTACTATGATATATTAACGACGTTATTAAATCATATGCCTTAGGTTTACCATGATATATTAACGACGTTATTAAATCGTTCCAGTCAAAGCACAACAAATCTCTATAGCACAAATGTCTAAAGTGTGTTGGTACTTATTTGACTCACTTCGTGAACTTTGTTTACCCGTTACGAGTGAATTATTCTTGTAATGACGTCAGCACATCCAGGCTAGTGGGGAGGGGTGTGTAAGCCATCAAGACTGGCCCTGTGCTATGGCCGTCCAACTATTGTATAAGGCCATGTAAAACCATCAAGACTGGCCATCATATGGCCGTCCAATGTTGATGTAAGGCCATGTAAACACATCGAGATAATTCGGCCCTGTGCTATGACCGTCCAGGAACTATGTTCTTGCCAGACTGAGTGAGGCAGATTTTTTCCTTAGAAAATTCACTGCCGCCCCCTCCCCATTCACTTGGTATTAGCAGCTCTCCAATAATATCTGATAGGGCGTCGGTCACTCTTGAGTACAGTTCACCACGTAACAATACAGCAATCTTAATCTTTCTCTAGTTTGTTACAACTACGTATTTATACTTACCTAAAACGGTTGTTACACTGGCCATAACTAATGCAAGTTGCAATTCTTAACAATGCTACTATCTTAGTTACAACACTACTGTTACCACATATAGTTACAATTCTAAAACAAGCATTATCTCAGTCAACTCTATGTAACAATACACATAACTAAGACAGTTACATCCCGAAAATTAACACCCCCCCCCCTTTTAAAATGTTACTTACTGTGGGGAATACTCAAGCGATTTAAAAAAATTTAAATCAGAAAAGCATGCAAGTATTTGGACGGGTCCCAGACGGACTATCGTATGCCACTTGTTGATGTAACACTGTATTTCTTCCATGCCATGCCCTCATTCATCTTCTTACACCCGTCTATCTCTGAGCTAGCTGTTCACATATTTTCTTCTTGCTATAGGGACGGGAGGGCTTGCACTATAAGGCTGTTTTCTCGAGGTCTTGTTACAGACAAATTTGACACATCGGACTGTCACACTCTATCAAGTAGACGGAAGTGTAGTGTCTCACTCTATCAAGTAGTCGGAAGTGTACGGTCACTCTATCAAGTAGTCGGAAGTGTACGGTCACTCTATCAAGTAGTCGGAAGTGTACGGTCACTCTATCAAGTAGTCGGAAGTGTACGGTCACTCTATCAAGTAGTCGGAAGTGTAGTGTCACACTCTCCCAGTTAGTGTAGACACTCCAGCTCACACTTGAAGGTCCACACGACTGACCCATTTTGTCCTCTTAATGTCCACATTGCATGAAATATGAGGATAAATCTAGCTGGCACCATACCACCACCCCACCCGTAATATATCTGCCTCGACTTAATTTCTGCCTCCCCCACCCCCACTATTCTCCCCAACAAACATTTTCTCTGCCTACACATTTTCTTTCTCACCCCACTCCCACACATTTATCTGACTCCCCCACACATTTCTCTGAATCCCCCACACATTTATCTGACTCCCCCACACATATCTCTGACTCCCCCACACATTTCTCTAACTCCCCACACATTTCTCTGACGTTCCTCCACCCACACAATTTTTAAATGTGTGTATCATCAAATTGTCATGTTAATCTAAATTTGTTGCTTTCAAACCAGACATAGATCTAGATCTATCGCCTTGATAATGCCGCACAAAAATATTTCCGCTTTATTCAAGAAATATTCAACAAATGACCTTGACTTTGTTGCGGCACTTTCCGTTTTTTGATAAAGGAATTCTTATTTTAGATAAAAATGTTATTTAAGAGATGGGAATAATTTTTAAAAAATATCAAGCTCTAATGTTCGTAGTGATATCAACAAACAGATGATAAGAAACTGCTGAGATAAAATCTTTTATTGAAACACCTTAAGCACGTCACATTTTAACATAATTTGTTCCAAAGTCAACAACATAAACATTTAGCAAGAAGTTGTTTCAAGTCATTCTTCTTAACTGTTATGATGCGTGTTTTAACAGGGTATTTTGTTGCGAATGAATGTTGATGCGAGATATATAACGAATGCATGGATTAATGACGGGGATACAAGACAGTGACATTTTGCGATAGGAACTGGTTGTTGCGCTATGAAAGCTAGGGAGTTAAGGCTAGCCATGGAATGTGAGAGGTAGGCCCACTCCGTGTTATGTTGATATCAAGAATAGTTGTATCTAGAACCAGTATAGTAGTTGAGTAAATAGTGAGATAGATAGTAGTAGGCATTATTTCAAGTGGTATTGCAAATCGGTTTTGGTTTTGCTTATCTGGACGATACCATGACATTATTTAATAATGCTGGGACTTGCACGAGGAAAAATACATTCTTGAAGACCTACCCGTGTAGAAGCCACGGGAACCAAACTCTCTAACACGAAAAGGCTGGAATATTTTGACGCAACCGGTTATCTCCCTGCTTGAATTACTTCCCTTCCCCAGCAGTTAAAAATCTCGTGATTTGAAACACACCAAATGGTGCATGTCTCTAGCTTTCAGGGGTGGTGTTTAGGGGGTGCGTGATAAAAAAACTTTGGTCATTAAACCCAAGCAGGAAGTCGTAGGTTTCAACTGAAACCACAGCAAAAAATTAACAATTTATTTTTCTTCAAATAGGACGCAGACTTTTTTTTCAAACGGGACAAAGCACTTTCGTAGGTTAGAAAATTAAAACAGAGGTAGTTTGAAAGGGTGAAGCACTTTTTTTTTTAGAAAGTTACAGATACATTCCGTGAACGACCTAGTTGTCAGTACAGCAGTTACTGATGATGTCAAGTACTGATGATGTCAGGTACCTATGATGTCATGTACTGATGATGTCATGTACTGATGATGTCAGGTGCTGATGATGTCAGGAGCTGATGATGTCATGTACTGATGATGTCAGGTGCTGATGATGTCAAGAGCTGATGATGTCAGGCACCTTTAATGTCAGGTACTGCTGATGTCATGTACTGATGATGGCATGTACTGATGATGTCATGTACTGATGATGTCAGGTACTGATGATGTCATGTACTGATGATGTCAGGTACCTATGATGTCGGGTGCTGATGATGTCAGGTACTGACTGATGATGTCATGTACTGATGATGTCATGTACTGATGATGTCAGGTACTGACTGATGATGTCATGTACTGATGATGTCAGGTACTGATGATGTCAGGTACTGATGATGTCAGGTACTGATGATGTCATGTACTGATGATGTCAGGTACTGATGATGTCAGGTACTGATGATGTCATGTACTGATGATGTCAGGTACTG